AAAAAGCTATGATTATTTATAGGATGGAAGTGAAAAATTTGCTATAAGTATTGTTGGATACTAAAGTACTCTGCTTTTAGGAATAAAATTCATATAAAATTAAAATATTCTATTTCTGAAATATACTAATAGCTTCAAAAGTGAAAGAGAATAAATTACATTATTTGATGATACAATTTAAATTAAAAATTTTGTTATGTTTTAAACTAATACTTCTTTGGATAATTCAATAACCACTTCAAAATAATTAAACCAAGCCCTAATTAGTATTTAATCTACATAAATTAGTTTTACTAATTTAAATTATAAATATAATTAAGGAAATATCCTAATATAAAATTCAGATGCAATTAATATATTAAATTCTGTCTTTTAAAATAATACATCTCTTGATGGAGGAGCTCTTTAATTTAATAATGCAAATTAAATAGCAATTAATAATTGCTCTTTCAATTACAATATTGCGAAAGGTTCAGGTGGAGCTATATTCTTAAGAGAAGCTAAAAAACTGATTATAGATAATAAGTCAAATGTTTCTTTTAATTTTGCTGAAATAGGTGGAGGTGTAAGAGTCATATCCTCATAATTTGATCCTGAATAGACCATTTTAAATAAAACTAGAATTAGTTAAAATACTGCTCTTATTTATGGAAAGGATATAGGAATATTCCCATTTAAAATAATTTTAAATTTTTAACATCAGAAATTTAGATAATTAAAATAAGCCGAAAATCAAAAAGAAAGAAAAAGCCTCTTGTTTAACAAAAAATACTTTGATAAAATTATTTCAGATAGAATTTTAGGTGAAGAAAATCTATTTATTGAGTCATTCAGAAGTGGCAACTTTTTACCATTAAATATACAATTTGTAGACTAGTACGATTAGTTAGTTTAATTTTCTGTTTAAAAGTTAAAAGATGAGCTTTATCCTTCTAGTGTATAACAGGAATTAAATTCTTTTCAAATTGAAATTACTGCAGATGATTTATTTCATTCACAAGCTATTGGTTAAACTTTTGTCAATTACAATTAGTATAATGAAGACTAAAAAACATTTAAATTTACTTCTCTCTAAATAAATGCACATCCTTTATCTATTTAATCCTTTTTAATTAAGGCTATAACTAATTCATTTTTACAATCAGCTTTAATTAATTTAAAACTAAACATCTAATTCCGTTAATGTTAGAGAGGTGAGATTTTTAAAGTAATAAATTAAAATATTAAAATATGTGAAGTATGTTAAAGTGGGTTTTATTCTTTAATAGACTCTTAGTAAACTTAAAATGAAACTTTGACTTGTATAAAATGTCCAGCTCAAGCTACTTCTTGTGAAGCTGATACAATTATTCTTAAAGATGGTTATTGGAGATCGAATAATTACTCTGATGAAATATTGGAATGTGATGACTTTACTTCAACTATAACCTGCAGAGAAAATAACCCTGATAGTAAATAAGGTTGCATAAAAGGATATATAGGTCCTTTATGCTAAGAATGTGATTATGAAGGTAAATTATGGAATACTAGATATAGTTAATCTTCATTAAATTAATCTTGCTAAGAATGTGCTAAAACCTAGCTTATCTAATTTTTATTAATTTTATTCAGTAATTTTTTATTAACAAAATTTTTAATTAATTTTAAATTTTTTATGGTAAATAATAACTTCAATTTTAATTGATATTTTTATTTAATAAAAAATAGCAATACTGTTAATAATGTATTTAGTAATCAGCATTACAATGTTTGTGTAAAATTTTAGTTTTCACTCTACTAGTACTTATTTGCGTTACATGAAATTTCTACCACTTTCTGCGAGCTGTGTAAATGATCAATCAACATACTATATAAAATCCCTAACAAACTATATTTAAATATCATCTATAATTTTTTAAAGTGTAGAATCTTCAAATTTTACTACTTTAACCAATGCATTGAATTATTTTGGAATCCCCTCAACACAAATATTTTCTGAAATTCACTGCCTATATCCTGACTATTATTTTAGTAAATTCGGAGTGACTTAGATAAAAATTCTGATAAAATCTATATATCCTATAATTTTACTAGCTTTCATTATTTTAATTTTTTACGTTTTAAGAAAACTAAAGAAATTTTAGATAAAGTTACATCACAATTATGCTATTCTTACTGTAATTTTCTTTTTGTTTTAGCCTGAATTGATAACTGTATTATCAAGCTCTTTATCTTGTCGTAAAATAGGTCAAATTTAATATGTATCTGTTAATTTATTATTACACTGCTCTGATACTTAATATAAATTATTTACTTATGTTTATATCATACCTTATTTACTAATGATATTATTACTTCCTCTTTTTGCTCTTAAGAAACTTTACAACCATAGAATAAATTTAGATTATTGCACTACTAAATATAAATTTGGGTATTTCTATCTAGATTATAAACCTAATTTCTTCTTTTGGGAATTTATACGTATTTACTTTAAAACTTTCATAGCCATTTTCTTCATCCTAACTATATAGTATAGCAATAGCTTGACATATTTAATAGTTTGTCTAATTTTATCATTATAATTAATACTGAATTATATTTATTAGCCTTATCTTCAAAAGCAAGTTCTTAAATTAGATTGTACTTCAATTATAATTTTAATAATTAATATTGCTCTTTAACAAATGAGATCAATAAGCGATGATTATGAGATATTAGTCCTTACACAGATGATACATTTCTTTTTTATTTTTTTTGTTATACTAATTATTGTTCGTCTAAAAATTAATAATTAACGTTCAAAAAAAATAGGTGAAATAAAAAATTTCTTTTAAAAGTATTTACCAAAAAGAGTGTTTTATTTTATATTTATCAAAGAATAAGACCATTAAAGAGCCTTAAAACGATGGATTAATTTAAAAAAGAACATCACTTTTTTAACAAAATAAAAAGCTGAATAAATTAAATTTAATTGCGACCTTATAATTAGTAAATAAGCATCTAAAATATAAAGTAAAAATAAAACATTACTTAAATATAAATTAAATTATTTATTTATAAATAGAAAGTCCATCAGATATGAAGCAGATTTTTAATAAACAATAGATTGATGATTTTACTTCTTTAAATTAACTCTAACTAATTTAATTTTCAAGTAAATATTTATTTTATTTTTAAAAAAATTTAAATCAACTATTTTTTAATTTTAAAAATAGATCCTAGAGCTTCTTTTTCAAACAATAACAGAAGCAAGTTTTTTAACTTTAATATAGAGAAAAAAGAGTCTGAATAATAAAGCTATCAATAATATGATTAAGATTTATAATCTTAACTGAGCAGTTAAGATATTTAAAATAGCTGGTAATATAATGAATACCCAAAAGACTAATAATAAAAAAATTAAATAATAAATATAGATGGTATGAAATAAAATAACTGTATCAAAAAATGATTTCATAATAATTATTATTTTTATTTAGACTTTATATGTAATTTATTTAAAAAATATTAACTCTATTGAATACATGCTCTTGTATGAAACAATAACATTCTTTATTTAAAAAGTTTTGTTATTTATTTATTTATTTTTACTTTTAAAAAATGTATAAATTTTAAAAAAATGAAATTGTTGTATGCAGATATTAATTGATATATTGTAAAAAATATATACCATATATATTAGATTCTCAGATACCTGACTCAACCCCCATTTTTTAGAGGAATTACAGTATATATGTAAATTTATGTTGATTATTAATTTATTTTGAAGTAAAAGCAATCTTTAATTTCAAAAATATTGATAAACAAATAATATAATAATTTAGAAACAAAAAAATTATTAAATGAAGAAAAAACTTCTAATTTTATAAAAATTAAAACATGAAAGGGTATTTTACTATCCAGCAAGTAAATATACTCTTTCATGCATATTCATAATTGATATAGTCAATATCAATTCTTTTTTTCTTTAATTGATAATCATTATTATCAATTCTTTTATTCTTCTTATTTAAAAAGTAAAATAATAAATAATAAATAACATATTAAAATAAATAAATAAACTTAAAATTAATAAGTTATTTACATCTTATCATTTGATAAGACATGTAAAATAATTTATTAACATCTTAAAAAGTAAAAAAATAAATACAAAATTGAACATAAGATTAACAAATTATTTACATTTTTATTATTTAATAAACAATGCAAAATTATTTGTTAATATAAAAAATAATCAAATTCAAAATAAAAATTAATATATTTTGTAAATTAATAAATCTTATTATTTAATAAGAATTTACTGAAAATTAAATTCCAGCATAATTCATATTTTTTTTTTAATTAGTTAAAAGACACAATATAATAACAAACAAAATCAAATATAAACATAATTTAATATTAATAAATTGACTTTAATAATTTTGGAAGAAACTATTTACATTTTTTTATTTTTTATTTTAAGAAATCAATTTCATATAATTAATTATTAATATTAATTTCCTAAAAACCCATAAAAATTTAATTTCTATTTTATTATAAATAGTCATATTTTGGATGAAGAATAATTATAATTTGAAGATCTCATCTTATTTTATGAATGATTTAACATTCAAAAAAGGACAAGTTAGGATATATGAATATACATAAATTAATTTCATAGTCATTCACATTGAAGTTATATTTGATAGAGATACAATATTATGGAATTATAAAATGTAGTAGCTCAATTAAAACATCTTTTAGAATTTAATTAAAATATATTTATTTATTACATAACTAAAACCAAAGTACTCAAGCTAATGAACTATTAATATTTTTAATGGGCTTTCAAAAAATTTATTAAACGTAGTATAAAATTAATTTAGAGGTAACAATATATGTGTCATTTATGTATTTTTTATTATTATATTCAAATTTGTCAAGTTACAAAATTATCTATCTAAAGAAGCTCGCTCTCTTTTTATTAATAGTATTTTTAGAATATCTTTGTGATAGATTAATTATTACTTCCTTTGAATTAAATTATCTTACTTAATAACTAATTAATTTTTATGATTGTATTGATTAACTCTAATTAAATTAAGAACCACAAAAATTGATCTAACCACAAAAATTCATCTCCACAAAAATTCAGATGAATTTTTGTTTACAATCATAAAAATCAAATCTTACTTTATAACATACCTCTTAGAAATAAATGAAATTTTATTTGTTCAAAAGTATTACTTCCTGCTTTATTATATAAGAAAATGTATTTCAAAGTAGAATAGTTAATTAACATTTAAATGTATAAAATTTGATATTTTAGTTGATAAATTTAATCTGAGAATATTTAAAAAGTACTTCAAAATATTTTATTTTTTAAATTAAATATAGTACAGAAAAGAAATATATTAAGATGAATTAAAATAAAATATTATTTTAGTAAATTTAATAAAGTTAAAATGTAAAAATATTTTGATTTTAAGATTATATATTATGTTTTATTCATATTATTTAATAAGATTCATAAAGTTTCTTTAACAGTTTAATTATTAAGTGAGCTTAATTTACAGTATTTCCTCCAAAAAAAACAAAAAGTAATGTAGGAGAATATTACCAATTTTAAACACTTGATATAAAATATACCTTGAGTTAAAACCCTATTTTTAAGTTAAATTTTAACAAATTAAAGTATTTTATTAATTACATCCATTTCGAGAAATTGTTGAAAAATAATTATATTTTTTCGTATAAACGAATCGCTCAGACACAAAGAGAGTCTGTAAAATGCAAAAATATATTTTAAAACTAATTTTGTAATAAAATATTATCACAAATAAATTTTCGCAATTTAATTTCGTTATTGGTCATATAAATGTTTACTCTCTCATCATAAGAATTTATAAATCCTCAAAATAATTGTTTTATATACAAATAAGGTCTAATAATATCAATTTAAAAAAATAATAAATAATACACTCAAATCACAATTATTATTATTATTATTTGTGGATAGTAAATTAACAAAATAAATTAATTAACCTAGTTAATCTTATTTAAATATACTTACTTCTTTTTATTACATTTTTTAAAACTAACTTTTTAATTACTGTTAATAGTTAATGGATAAAATTTAAGTTTACTGTAATCAAAAAAGACTTAATTCTATTAGTATTCTTAATAAAAGCTTGAAAAATATCTATACATTCATTTATAAAAACTAAATCAATATTAAAACATAAATAACTATTCAACCACCTCTTTTGATAGATAACCTCTTAAGTCTTTATTACTTATTTAAAATAGACTCATTCTTTCTTTTAAAGAAAAAAAATAAACAAAACATAAATTAATTCAATTTTCATCCTATGATATTTAAATAAATTAGTTTAATTTACTAATTTTTTAAAAATTCTGATGAACATAATTAGATTCTTAACTATTCTGCTTGTTTTTGATTGAAGTAGGTGAGAAAACTAGTATTATTTAACTATGAAATTTCCCTTAAAATATTTTTCGTTAATTTATACTGATTAATAGCATTTAAAAGGATGCATTTAAATTTTATTTTAAATAATATAATAAATATCAATCAAAGATATAATGCTTTTTTTACTATTAAATTCAATATTTGAAAAAAATGTAAAAATGATTTTATCTCAATATAAAATATTTATACAGTATTTAAGTCATAATTTTATAACTATGCTTACACTCTTCATGAATTAATGTTTGGCTTTAATTAAAGAACTTACCAAAAATATCCTTTTAAATTATTATTTTTACTTTTCATTGGAGTTTATTTATTTACATAAAAAATAAAGAGAATCTTTCAATACTCATATTATAATACATTTAATTACCATATCATCTCAAATTAATGTTTACATAAAAATAAAAAATTAATAGCCGAATATACTAAATTTCGTAATAAAAGAAAAATCAAAGCAAAAACTTTAGTATATGTTTAAATTAGCAAAATTATGGTTAGTATTTAAATAATAAATTATTAAAAATAAAATCCAAAAGAATATAAAAATGCCAAATTTACTACTAATAATTACTTAAATTAATTTGATATCTATTTTATTGAATACCTCAATAGCATAGTAATCTAATAGCTGCTCATTTGGTTGTATTTAGTGTCAAACTTCTCCTATTACGCCTCTATAGCCATAATGTACTTTATGTGATGATGGATTCACTATGAATAATAACCAATGCTAATTTTAGAATTGTCCTTCTAAAACATATTTATAAAGGTATTCTGTACAGTAAAATGGTCAATACTAGAATTTAGATTCTTGTTAAGCGATTTGCGATTTTTCATATAATGAAAATACAGCATAAAATACTTGCGATTAATTACAAAAATGCTCTGTTTCATACTTAAGTAATTAAAGTATTGTAAGTCTTGGTAATATTTAATCAATCTATCAAATAAATGAAAAATTAACTATGATTGTTTACCCTAATTTTTTAAGGTTAATAAATGCAATTTCTGGATAATATTTATCTGATATATAAGAAGCTTCTACCATTAATGCTCTTTACTTTCAGAATCTTCTTTTCATACTTTCAAATTCTAATCAAGTAATAAGATGGGATTTTGACTTTAATTTCAAAACAACAATTGCTTAAATTTAATAAGGAAATCTATCTAAAAAATCATAGCTATTTGATTTGAGCAATGGAGTCTTTGCAATTTCAAGCTATGATGATATTTCTAAAATTATTTATTTTACCAAAATTTCTTTGGTAAATTAATTGATTGCATCAGATGATTTAATCCCTGCTTTTACATATACTAATTGCTCTTTAAAATTGGTGAGTTCATTAATTTTGTGTTTTGGATAAGAAAATAAATTAATTACTAAAAGATTAACTGCTATTTAATAATAATTAGTAATATAAGACATCCCTTAGAATGATAACTGTAAAAGCTTTATTTTTGTATAAAACACAATACTTCAATCTATCTTTTTAGATTTCACAGAAACTTCTGAAATAATAATCATATAGTAACAAGTTTAATAGCTGATTCAACTTTCTTATAACAAGATAAGCTAATCGTTCGATTGTAAATTTACTAACTTGATTGATCAACCTAATAAAATTAGATTAGTTGATTTACAAAATAAAAATTATATTTTGGCTATTAATTTAAATTCATAATTAATCTTCTTAGATTAAAACATGAAATAAATACACGCTATTAGTTTTCCTTTAAATTAAGTTACTGATATAGCGTTTACTAAAGACTAAAACAGTCAATTTATGACTTATTACAAATTATATGTAATATAAGATTAAATTTAATAAGTTTAAATTTATAAGATAAACTTAGCAACTTAGTTTACAGGATCCATCAATACACTTCCCATACTTGTAGGAAAAGCTACATAATTTTTGACCTAACAAAGCAAAACCTTATTTTCTGATGAAACAAATACTATTTTAGATAAAAGT